TTACATACTGCAAATAAACATTAGCATCTTTGTAGTCTATATTACAATTTCATTACTAACATCAAGTCAAATATGTTTACCTTAAATTTTGTTCATTGAACACATTTTTCTCCTTCTAATAAACATCCCCTGCCATGAATTCAAACACAAATTTCTCTCCCCAGCTTCCCAGAGGGACTTATAATAGCAAAAAGAGGAATTAAAAGTTAAGAGTTTTCTCTTTCATTTGGCAGTTTATGATGCCTTTGCTAACAAAACTGATGTTCTTTTTTTTTAACAGATGTTTTAGCTTTTCAGACTGTGTAGTGCCCATCTGCTAACATTCCATTTGTTTCCAGCAACTGAAGATACAATCTGCACTGTAACTCTAGAAAAAACACCTGCCGGTTTAGGATTCAGCCTGGAAGGAGGGAAGGGATCTATTCATGGAGATAAACCCATCATCATCAACAGGATATTTAAAGGTAAATACACTTAAGTGCATACATGGCAGGTTCTTAGCTTATGCAAACCTGCACAGCTCATACCTGACTGCTGATTTATACCCATGGAAATGACATTTTTTGGAAATGCAGCATTACCCTGTGCAGTGCCAGTAATTCATTGCCTGCTGAGACCACGTGGTTTATACCAAACATGCTGGTTATCCTTAATAAACGAAAGATACATCAAAGTCTCTCCCACACAAAGAATTAAAGGAAAGTAATTTTCTTTCTCCAGGGACTGCATTAGAACAAAGCAGCCCTGTCCAGCCTGGGGATGAGCTGTTACAAGTGCACACAACTGCCATTCAAGGACTTACTCGTTTTGAAGCATGGAATATAATCAAGGCATTACCCGATGGGCCCATCACAGCTATCATCAAGAGGAAGAATCCGAGCTCTGTTACCACCAACACATCCAAAACTTTGTAAGAGGAGGAAATTAGACTACTGCCAATATTACAAACAAAAAAAGATTTTACTACTTGCAGCCATTTGGCTAGCACAGCAAGATACTCCAAAAGTGCACATGACAAGTACACATGACCTTGTTGCCAGTTACAGAGCAAGCTGCCTGGGATAAGCTAAGATGTGCACAAGATGTGCCTGATTCTTATTTCAACATTCAGAAAGAGATGTAAAAGTATAGAATTATAAAATAGTGACTTTATTAATAATATACTGGTTGTAATAAAATACATGACAGCTAGAGTACTCTCCTGTTTAAAGCCATTAACTTAAATATTGGAAGCTCATTCTGTGCTAAGTTTTCAGTCCTACTCTACAAAGTCTTGCTCCCTGCCTTACCTTCCCAGGAGGAAGAAATGTGTCTACAAGCCTACAACTCAACACTGCCTTACAGACTGTGTAGAGGTCAGAGAAAGGGGGATGCAATTCAGTGTGTCAAAATGACAGTGTGTCCTAAAAATCTCCAGCTTTTCTATTTAAACCACAGAACATACAGGACAGCCAAAAATCTGTTGAGGTAATTTTCTACTAGCAGTTGACAAAGCCATCTCAACTCCAGCAGGCAAACACGGGATGGGCGGAAAAGAGTATCTCAGGGTATTGCAAGGGTGAGGCAGGAAGCTGAGGGCAATATAGGGGAGGTTTTCCTAACCATCCTCTGGCCAGAGGACTCCAAGGACTACAGTTGGAAAGTAACAAGGCCCTTTAGAAGCAAGTTTTACCTTCTAACCACAAGTACTTTTTGAAATGTCTTTGTGTGAATTTTGTAAGGAAAAGTACCAATGACAATATTAGGGAATTAGAAGTTCTGAATCCAAATGTTTATTCTGGAGACACTAAACAGCTTGGAGACAAGCCTACACTTCAAATGCTGCTATCAGCATTTTGGCAGCGCTCTCTAAGCACTGTATAGAATTCTACCAGCAGCAGCATGCGGATCTATGGCAAGATGGTCCTGTGCACCCATTTGCTCTTCTCCGACCTATTTCACCAAAGGAGAGATGCAACATCAGAATGGAAATAGTGACTCACCAGATGAAAGCCAGATGGCTGCACTGGCTCTTGTCCCTTGCCTTTTACCTTCCCATAGCTGGGAATTTGCCGCACCCTTCTTCAGTTACTTAATTTCACCAAACCATGAGCTGCAGGAGTTCAGAAACTATTTTCTGTGCACTTAACACAATGTCATAGAAACAACAACTGAAAGGGAAGTAGGATAGACAGCAGAAGGCATTAGTCGCACCTAGGCATATAACTTGCTTTGGCCTTTCCTCACAAATCAGCTCCATGTTAATCCTTGAAAACACATTCTTGACAAGCCATTTGTCCCCCACAGTTCCAAACCCTTTCCAAGTAAGTTCTTTTCCAAAAAACAAACCAAGCAATCCTCAAAACAAGATTTCTATGAATTGGTTGGGAACCAAAAGAGGAGAAAAATGTGAGAGGAAATCTTTTCGTACTTTTTTTTTTAACTGGTACATACATGAAACTCTCTGAATATTTATTTTTTGGGGTAGAATTGCGTGTATTTAACATAATCTGCATTACTGGTTTAGGCTTAACTAAGTGAAAGGCCTAAGGTGCATATAAGAGATTCTTAGATTTTTCAACCGCTCGCCCATACCACCAATATAAGAAAACTGTACAGAAAGGATTCCTGTGTATCCTACAGGATTATAGAATCTGTACAGAATAAGCGTGAACTCTTCAGCATTGGAAAGGCTATTTCTCATAAAATACACGTTTTGTCAGCTGCGTAACTGTAACAACAGAGACTGGACTAGCTACACCCATGGCACAGAGTGCCTTAATTACTTCAATGCCATCTGCTGAAGGTGTCCTCACCTGAAACTGCCATTTAATATCATCAATTTAAGAACTGACATACACCCACCATGACAGGTTTGATCTTGTTTTTTTCCAGAGGTGGTGTTCTCACTTCATGTCCAAAGTTCTTCAGTTTTTCCATGCCTCTGCATTTCCTGGCATCTGCCAGGATCAAAAGAAGTGAAAACATGCTGTGTGACAGGCAGCGTGTCTCACTGGGGAATCCTCCAAAATCTTACGAGATTAGCTTTGCCAAGACATTCCCATCTCCAGTTTGGCAGGCCAGAAGCATGAGTGTTAAGGACTCTTAATTCCTTCTGGGTAGAAAATTTTGAGCACATGAAAAAGGGATCCTTAACTTACTTCAAGAAAGAGCCTCACCTATCATCTTTACTGCTCAGAGCAATAAAAAAACATTAACTATATGATATATGGCTAATAAAAAAGCCTGTTTGCAAAAGGTTTACTTGCAGAAATAACGAGTGGAGGCCTGAGCTCTGCTTCTTGAACTTTTTGCTAATTAAAGCAATCCTAATCCTGCAAAGACTTGCCGAGATACTGCACTTCATGCCTAATGACTTTAGTACGTTCAGATAAACGTGTACCAGCCTCTGTAATATCAGGGCCCAAATCTTGTCAGAGAATTTGTTACTCATCGTAAGTAGAGAAAGCAGCAATTGGAAATAAGGACTAACCAAGGAGAAAGAAGCTGGGAGGGAGAAGGTTCTCACCAAAACAGCTGTACCTCCAGCTAGTGGGGAGTGTAAATGGAAGTGAAGGCTTTTCCCTCTCATTCCCTTCAATTCAAGAGATACTGGAGGTGTAGGTGGCTCTCAGGTTTCCTTGATGGCAAAGCAGATACGTGGGGAATCATTTTAAAGGATGATCCAGGAAAAACAGTAGGATGTAGCAAAAAATATTTATTTCATCACATGCATACAAGTCTTTACATCTCTGTATACAAAGGAGACTAGATTAAAAACTGTTTCATTGAAAAATCTATTCCATAGAGTGAGATTTACAGTGGGAGGCTGTGTGCAAGTCCATGTCCTATACTAAATACGAAGGAAATACTGGGACAGAAAGCAGAGCATATTAACCTTGTTAATTACTGAGTTATAGCATTAAAATCACAACCTGCATTCAAATTCCTAATTCAGCAATTAGTTTTTCCAATTAAATGTAATCCACAGTAATGTCTGACATTCCTGCCGTAACCAGCACTGTAAGTATTTTCAAAAGCTAGACCCACCACTGCACACAAGATCAGGAGCTGATTCCCCAAGACAGTGCTGTCAGGCAAACCAGTCTTAGAAAAAAAGCAACATCCTTATGGCCTGTCAAGACAAAGCTATAGAAAAGATTATTTACCCGTTAAAACCTCTCACCACAAGAGAAGAAAAAATGTTCAAGTGCAGTTAAAAATGGTCAAGTGCAGTTTAAAAAATGGCAAGTAAAGTGCTTAATCCTCTATTTACTGCCACTATGTCATGCAGTTTGTTTCATGACATTGAGGAAATCACTGGATTTGGTACAGAGGGGAGAAAAGAACAGGGTGTATTTACCAACCCACAGACTACAAATTGATTTGCACTGCTAGACCTTGATTTAGCAAAAAAAAAAAAAAAAAAAAGCACTTAAGGCATATTTACTATTAGTACTAACTCTGCTGGAACAAACAAGTAGGATCCTCCACACAATCCAATTTGTTCTGGCTTCTACCATTCGCTGGCTTGGACCCACTGAAGCATCTTAGCAGCTCTACAAGTGCTGGCAGCAAGAACTGCTACCTTTTCTTCTAGGGAAGGAACATTGTTCCACAGGAGCTCCAGAGACAAAACAGGCTGACCTATACCATGCTAATGCTGTAGTGCTAAGTGGATTTTAGCAATGCTCCTCCTCACAGAGACCGACAAAGTGTGGCCAAGAACAAATCCAGTATGTGCGTCGTCTCCCTGCAGGCTGCCACTAGTGCTGCCTCCAGGATTCTTCCAGCCTCCGGTGCAGTATTTCTCTAATTATGAAAATGAAGGATATAGTATGAAAAAATGCATTGCTTTGCATAGACAGATAGAAAACGCTGGTTTAAAAGTTCATTGTTCCCCTTTCACCTTTCCTAATATCTTTGCTGGTAGAAAGTCCTGTAGGCCAACTTCATATTTCTACCCTCAGGCTGCCAGCTTTTTTCCTACCTTCAGCTGGTGAGGTCAGCAATTGGTCTTGTCATGCTTTTAATTGCTTAACAGCTTTGGTCAGGTTACTGTAAAAACCAGCTATACTAGCTGGAAAGAAGGAATCCACCACCGTTTGGGGAAGATAGCCACCAAGATCAGTCTGAAAGAAAGTGAGGAGCTGAGTCCTGTCTGGTTCCCTGCAAAGACAATGAAGCTGATTTTTATAGCCAGTGGTTTAAGAGCATTAGGAAATTTACAATTACTTTTATCTATTGTCTGATAATAGATACTTCTAAGTACTTATTTTTTAAGCAAACAACAAACATTAATTACAAATTTCAACAAATGTGACTATCTCCACAAGTCAAATTACAGTTAAACTAGGCCCTAAATTAGGTTCATGACTGTTTATGAATTATGGCAACATAATAGACAACCAGACACTCATTTACCAAAAATTAAGGCCTTATTTGTATGTTATGCTGAATCTCTGCTTAAAGAGGTCAGCGAGAGTCCTATCGTGGTGATGGTTTCTGTAACATTAAAGACTTCCCGCTAGGAAATGAAGAGAGACTAATTCATTGGACAAAAAAAGAGAGAACAAAAAGGGCACTTAGTCATAATGATCACCAGTCAAAGGAAGACAGAAACATGCCATTGCCAAGAGGCTACAGATCACATATGGTCATATACACACACCACACAACAGATAAAGAAAGGCTTTAGAATACATAACATTCAAACAGATAGTTTCTTACCCTGGAAGAGGTATACAGAAACAGCCACAGGGATAATTCAAACCTCTCACAAAATTTGGTCTAGGAGGACACAGCGGGTGTTCCACATTGGTTGCTGTAAGAAAAAGCATTCAAGAAAAGTGTCATTTTCACAGACGATGATGAAAGAGTCCTTGGTACTCAAAGCACCAGCTGAGAAGCAAACTTACTATATGAGAATATATTTAAGAATGGCAGTAGAATGTTTTCACTATGTGGTCAGAAGAGACCATTAAAGGAACCACTGTGGCCATGGAATGGGGAAATCAAGTGTAGAATTTAGAAGCAATTGTTACTGAGCTCTAAAGTAAGCATTAAGACAATCCGAGGGAGTTTCATGGAACCCATGTGAGGGAACTGCTTTTCTTGAGAGGTCATTCAAGTACTTCCAACAAGTCCATGACACAGAGGTATGCCATTCCACTTGACTACTGAGAAGCTGCACTCTAGTAAGTATACGAGTTCCTGGCAAGGCGTTCCTGAACAGGATGGGAAAACAGGACAGCTGAACAGTAGGGCAATAAAAGCACTGACTTGTAACAGTTAAACAGGATGAAAGTGAAGAAACGAATAAACACCCTTCCACGAAGTGGCAGACCCTCAAAAATCAGAACTATATGGTTTCATAGGAACAATTATTTCAACATACAGGAGTGGTACATTTATCCAATGGCTTCACCAACTAGAGGCAGTGCAGAAAAAGTTAGAAACAGGATTTAGGCTAAAGTGGGACTCGTTTTAGAAAGCTTGCAAATTCTTAACAACAATAAAACCGTACATACACAAACACACATATACACACACACCAGTTTTATAGTAAACTGAATAGCTATTCAATCTCAAAATCATAGAAGGGAAAGAAAACACAGGCCAACAATATCATCATTACCTGAACATTAAGATGACTTATAGACTCTGAGAACAACAATGTAGAGAGACCACTAATAATTTACTTTCTGATAAAAGATGTTGATCAGCTCAACAACTACTGAACAGTATGTTACTTATTTTCTATTTTATGTTGATCTCTGGTACGTGCTGTTTATCTGCTAACATAATGTCAACATGTTGAGAACACAAGCATCTTACCAGCAGATAGCATCGTCCCGTCTTCAAATTGCTTCATCAGTACCACATCCACGAATTCTCTTGGTGAAATGACCCTCATGAAAGCTGAAGGGGTTGTGGTTCTGCATACAGAGACAGCCTGGAAATCACAAAACAGAGGTATGTCAGTTGATGCTTTCAAAAGCACAGCAGAAAAAGAGTACTTTCTGGTACTCTTTCAGATATGCTTTGTAAACTGTTACCAAGTGGTTCTATTACATCCTTTCTTGAACAAACTGCAAATCGCCACAGCTAAAGGGCAGTATGGTGTAGTGATGAAGGACAGGTTAACGGAGAAAAATAGAGTTATAACACATTGCTTCCTGGTTGATTAAGGCCAGATACTGCAAGGGATGGTGGAAAGCTAAGGTAACTAACAACAATGTAGCACAGAAACCTTTATTATTACACAGTTACATATTTTAATCGGGCAGTACTTAGCCAAGAATTTATTAGTAGCTCTTTTCAGAAAGATAAGCCCTTGTTAAGCAAATATATACAATTTATAGAGATGTAAAAGAAAAAGAACAAAAAGATTCCTTTTCCCAGCATCACCAGACTGATTCAGAAGAGGCTACACAACTTCTGGAAACATTCTGACCATCCTGGGTTCAACGTAAGCTGTCACATAAGGCACTACACCAGAAAGGTCTGTGCAGGGCCCAATGCTCCTGAACATCATGCGGCATTATCACACCAGCACGATTTCTGGAGAACTTACATCATTGATGTCTTCGATGACCTCAAAGTCCTTCACGTTTTGGTCCCACTTGGTCCTGAGCCCTCCAGCCACCGGCTTTATACACTCCCAGACATCCACGGGGCTGGCAGGCAGGATCCCCTCGCCCCTGTACCTGCGGCAGGATGAAACGAATCCAAACCTGGCTGCGCTCCCCTGCCC